TGCATTATTGGATTAAAGGAAAAAATGGTATCATAGATATAGAAAAGTGTCATTCAACAAAATTCAGTGTTCATGCATGGTAAAAATCAGCATGCTAGCAACAGAATGGATTCCCTTTACTTGAAAAGGGTTATTTGTTAAAAAATCTACAGGAAATAGAAAACCTAGTGGTGAAAAATTAGAAGGAATAAAGGTAGGATACCTGTTCTCATCACATCACTGCTGTAAATTATACCTTTACTAGCATTGCAAAATAAGAGATAGGAAAACTATATAGATGGGAAAGGAAGAAACTAACATATGCCAATGATATAACTGTCCACAGAGGAAATTCAAGTGATTTTCTATTATAACTAGTAAATAGAATCCATGAAATTCTCAATACATTAGCAATAAAAAATGAATTAAAAAATTGAGTTCTGATATACTATGAAAAATTATTAGTAAATGAATTTTTAATTATATGGTAGAACTTCCTAATATGAAATGATTGAATAAAAGGAAACCTATGCCAGTTTCGTGGATGGGAAGATTCAGTACTGATCTATAAGTTTAATGCAAACTTAACCAAATTTTCAGAAATAACTTTTGTCGACTTGAGAGTCTCAAAATTCAAGTGATGACTAAAGGGTCAAGAATAATTAACGTAATTTCCAAGAATAACAAGGCGGGGCAACTCCTTTCAGTTATCAAGATTTATCATAAACTTGTGATTAAGAAAATGTGATATTGGTGCAATAGCCACATAAAATAGAAGAGAGAGGTCCAGACATAAACCCATGCTTATTTGAGCATCTGATCAACAAGAGATGGTGTTACAAGTTGCTGGAGAAAAATTCACTGATCCTAGGAATTTTTTCTATTCACATGGAAAAGATAAAATTAGATCACAGAATACATACTAATAAGTTGAAGATCTTCATGTAAGATGCAAAGCTTTAAAACTTTTCAAACATAGGTGAATGTATGTATGACCTTGAGGGCTGTAAAGTGTTTCTTAAATAATCCCCAAAATATAAAATGTCAAGGAAAAATATTAATACAGTTGGTTAAAATATGCACTCTGTTTTATATCATTATCAAAAACATAAGGATAAGCACCAAAAAAAGTTGTCAAATGATAATGGGTAGTATGATACAGTTCATATAAAGTTTAAAAACATACAAATGCAGGAGTGTATCTTGCTGATGGATATATACAGACATAGTAATAGTATAAAATATAAATATAAAAGGGTTCATGGGAGTGCTGAAAGTCAAATCCTGGGAGGTGCTCCCGTGAGTAGGGAGAGGGGAATGAGATTGGGAAGGGCATTCGGTAGGCTATAGCGCTATCTATTGATCTCTGCCTAGGAGAAAGGCCACACACGAAACTTGTGTGCTTGTTTTGATGACCTTGAACAGGAGTCATGCTTACTTTGGCTTGGCATGTCCAGAGCTTTGGAATTTGCTCTGGGACTTGGTGTGCCTTGGTGGGGGTGTGTGTGGGAGCCGTGCTCCCAGACCTCCTGATACCTCCTCCACACGTGCAAGGGCTGGACTCTTGACCTAAATTTCTGGTATCTGTGATGGTCGTGATCATGTTAACCCTGAAGGGCAGTGCTGGGAGGGCAGTCCTGCTGTAGCTCTGAGACTGGAACCTGTCGCATAGTAACATCGTGAATCTGGATTTCAGGCAGATTCTTTACCAACTAAGCTACCAGGAAAGCTGGCAACCCTTCTACATCAGAATTAAGATATGGTCCAGGTTTCTCTCTACAGGACCCATAGAGTCTGCTATGGACCCTGTCTAGGGGTCCAGGGACCAGGGGGAATGGAACACATTTCTTTTTTTTTTTTTTAAAAACCTTCCTGCTTTAATTCTCAGAGCACTCCACACAGCCTGCTTTGGGGCAACTCTATATACCCTGCTTGAGGGACAGGTTTTGCGCTCCTGTTAACAGAGGTGCTGGCGGCAGAAGCTGAGGGAGCAGTGAGGGAACCGGTCAGTCTCTGGTGAAGTGGGAGACTTCGGGGAACCCGAGAAGCTTCTGTCTCCCCCTGCCTAGTCTGTCGTGGTAGGGAGAGCTGTGAGAATCCTTGGGTTGTCTCCACAGCCATTGGCTCTGCTGTCCGCTGTAGGCTGGATGAGGGGTGGGGGGAGCAGGTGAACTTGAGGGGTGGCACAGGTGGTCGTCAAAGGGGCCTAGTTCCCGCTGGCCCTCTCTCTTTCCCCCAGGGAGGGCACGTTCTCTTGCCTGTGGGTCTTTTTTGGAGTATGACTCTCAGCATCCTACAGGAAAGAGCTGCTGTCCCAGGCTGTCTTGAGAGGTCCACCCGGGGAGGGGCGCCCAGCCTCCTGAAATGTGCCTTCTCCCCTTTCCCCCTACGAGGGTCTCCCTCAGCCTCACTCCAGCCGTGAGGCAGAATGACAGGCAAGAGAGACCCTGGGACTGGCTCTGGACACAGCTTGCCCATGGATTCTTGGTGGAAGCCTCTGACAAGTCTCTGCTTTCTCATGTGTAAAGTGGATTCAGTTTCAACATTCCTTTCTAATCCAGATGGGAATAACATGGTATTGTACACAAGCCTCAAACCCGTAGCCTCTGGGGGGCATCTGGGCCTCTGATATGTACAGTTTGGCTTGCATGGCATTTTAAAAACTTTGAAATCATTGCCAACATTTAAAAATTTGGAGATTTCAGCTTCAAAGGGTGATTTCATCTTCTCCTGAAAAGCAGGAAGCTATGCCGGCCATGAGTCCCTGATCCCACAACACCCACGGCAGAGATGGATGGCATATGCCCTGTGTAGGGAGGCCCACGCCTCCGAGGCTGGCGGTCACCCCCCAGCTACCCCAGGCATTGAAGATATTTGAGTGAAAGCACAGACTTTGGAGCCCCCAGACCTCGGATAAATGTATTAACCTCTGTAAGTCTCAGTTTCCTCATCTCTAGAATGGATCTTCTTACAGCACCTCCTCATGGAAGCTGTATCAGGATCTCACCTAGAGTGTTTGGCCCATTGCCAGGCTGTCTTTTATTATCAGCACCATTATCATTACTATAATAGCTGTAACAAGTTGTCCCAGATGAAGAACTCAATCTGGAATTTGAAGTTTCTGGCAGCTTGTGATGGTGGAGGGTGAGTGGGGTCAGAGGCCTGGTTTCATGTGCATGGAAGGTTGGTCTGTGGGAAGGGGCTTTATGGCAGAAGGTGGCTGTCCTGCAAAGCATTATCTCTTGAGGGGCCTAGGTGGAAGTGACAATTCCCAGGTACCCAGACCAGGACCCTGAGCAAGAGAGCATGAGTCACTGGAGGCTCCACTGGTGGAGGCTTAGAGCCTCAGAAAAGCAGGCATTGCCAAAGGGACCTTATTGGTACCCACTGGCTCAAGAGACTGGGACATCTGGTCACTCACACTTAAGAGACTCTCCTATGCTTTACACTGCCTCCCACCTCCTCACCCGCCCGCCCAGCTCTGCTGATACAGAGCCCTGAGTACCCTGCCAGGCTCCTCTGTCCATGGGGATTCTCCAGGCAAGAATACTGGAGTGGGCTGCCATGTTCTTCTCCAGGAGATCTTCCCAACCCAGAGATTGAACCCAGGTTTCCTGCATTGCAGGTGAATTCTTTACCAGCTGAGCTACCAGGCAAGCTTGCAACCCTTCTACATCAGAATTAAGATATGGTTCAGGTTTCTCTGTATGGGACACAGAGGCTGAATTTGACCTTGTCTAGATCAGGTCAGGGGCTTGTTTTGCAGCAGGAAGGACCTGGATCAAATAAGGAGAAGAACTTCCTCACAGTAGGTGGTTGAATACTGCACATGTTCCTGTGAGAAACTGTACAAGCCAGGCTCTCTCTCCATCAAACACCTCAGTGAGGGTTGAATTATATGGGTGGAGAGTCCAGAGCTTCTCAGGCAGCAGGTCCAGGTAACCCCTATGATCACTATCATTTTTTCATTTAAGAATCAGCTCCAGCATCACTTGACATCACCAGGAAGAGGATTCCCTACTTGGCTGGTTTCGTTAGTACAGTTCAGTCAGGGGCAGGGTAGTGACAGGCACAAGCAGATGGACTGTCTTGAATTTACTGCCCTGCCTGGCATGGAATAGCCTCTTCACTGAGGACTGAACCATAAGAGACAGGCTTGAGATGGACAATTAAGTAAGAGCCAGAGCTTTTGTGCTGGTGAGGTTTCTTCAGCCAGCAGAAGCTGCTGCTGTGGCTGGAGCAGGTCTGATGTGGCCTTGCCCTGGGAAGCATTCCAGACCAGAGTCCCACCCCTTTGGAAGGACTGGTATTCAGCCGCCCCTTGTAGGATTCCACCGTCACTGACTTCTGCTGTAATGGTTTGGGTGTGGGGATGCTGCTGTTGCCTCCTCCCACTTTGGTTGAGGTGAGGCTCATCCTGACATGGGATCCTGACCTGGTGCTGGGGGACTCCAGGATCTACCTGGCTGTGTCTTTGCATTGAAGGGTTCTTGCCTCTGATGGGTGGAGAAGGGAGGTTCAGAGAGGACAGCTGCTTGCACAGACAGTTGGGATCTTTGGCAATTCCTTCCTGCTCCGCAGGAACTTGAGGTGTTCTTTGGTTCTGAGCTGCCTTGATATCTTTGCAGATCTTTGGAACTAATCTACACTCCCTTTTGTATCTCTGGTCTTGAAGCAGAATTCTGCCCACCCTGGCAGACGGGTGAAAGTTCACCAGAGGTCCCTTTGCTTTAAATCAGTACAGTATTCCTTCAAGACAGTCCTTGCGCTCCATTTGAGACAACCCTGGGAGTAGGGGTGGGGTCTCTCCAGGATGTCCCTGGACCAGCTGAGCCCCTTTGGCTTGGAGCGTAAGCCCAAGATGTACCCCAGCTCCTGCCCCCAGCCCAGTGTTAGCTTTTGACAATAAATGGCTGCCACCCCCTGCCCTAGCAGCTTCCCAGCCCCCATTCACTCCCCTCCTGGCTCTTCGCCTTGACTGCAATCTCCCCAGGTCGCTCCCTCCTCACCCCCAGTCTTACCTCAGGTTCATGTCCCCCTTTATGGCCAGGGTGAAGATGTTGGAGAGGTTCCCCCCTGGCGAGCAGCCGCAGATCAGGATGGCCAGGGCCTCGACGTTGGTCAGCTGGAAGAACTTGCCCAGCCCAAAGGCGGTGAGGGGCATGATGCCGAACTGCGCCACCAGGGCGACGGCCAGCCCCTTGGGCCTCCAGAAGTGCGCCTTGATCTTGCTGAACTCCATGGTGCAGCCCAGCGAGAGCATTATGGCCAACAGCATAACCACCAGAATGACGCTCAGTGCCCGGTCGGTGGGCCGCTTGCCGAAGTTGTGCGGGAGGGAGAAGTTGAATGGGGAGGACTCGTTGAAGGCCTCCATCCTCTTGGACAGCAGCGGTGGAAGAAAGACTGAAGTTCCCGCGCACCCCTGGCTGGTCTGCTGACTCCCTGCCCTGCCCAGTCCTTGCTGGGTGCCTTCCTCAATCACTTCCCAGGGCAGGGAGTTTCAGGGCAAAATGTAGATCTGAGCAAATAGAAGGATTATGCAACTGGCTGTTCTTTCTCTGGCTTTGGCTGCAAAAGAGAGAGTGTGCCCAGAGCCTTTTCTGTAGGGCTATTCTTTCCCCTCCTGAATTCCTCAGCTTCTTCTGCCTTCCTGGGTGCCACTCACAGGTCTTCTTACCTCCTGGCTGCTTCTGGGACAAGAGGGCTTATATCTCTTCTCTGCATCCCCCACCCCGCCACTTCCGAGCACGCCCACAGGCACTCTGTCCTGAGGACCGATCTGGGTCCAGCCCCTCTCATTCTCTGCTCAGTTCCAGAGGCCACAGTGTCTCATTCAGGGGAAGGTACCTCCCCTTGTCCAGACCCAAGGAAGTAACAAGAGTTGAGTTACCTTTCCTTCTTAGAAAGGGGGTTATGGGACAGAGTCAGGACAGGCGAATTGCTGGCTTCTAGATGTGTCCACGACCCTTCTGGAAGAGGAGAAGTGCCTGTGTCCTTCCCACTTGGGCTGGGAAACACTTGTCTTATCCCCAAACCTGGCCACACGGGTTCTGGGGGAGGAACATGCCTCCAATCAGGCTTACCTCCAGGGAGGAGCCTGGTGGGATAACCCAGGGGCTCGCAGGAAGCCTGGGGGCACTTTGCCCAAAGGGCAGCTCTGAGGGAACCCTGGCTGGGGAGATGTATTGCAGTCAACAGCCCGAGGAGCCCTGCTGCTTGGGAGATTTGCCTAGAAGGAAGCAGGAATGCAGGTTTTTCTTTCTGATTCCTGACTGCTCTACTTTTGCTCTGCACCTGGTTCTGGATGAAGGTGGCAGTGGACAGAGGCAGGCACACTTGCTGGTCGGGGGAGGTGGGCGTGTCCTAGGTCTTTCTCCTCCCATCAGCCTTGGAAAGTCAAGCATCTTCAGTGAGGGACAAGGAGCAGCATCAGAAGAATTGCTTCCAGCTTGGGCTGGAATCCAAGGGGCCTGAATGGGATCTCATGTCTTCATCTTTGCTGAAACATGAGATAAGGCTTTCTGTGTGAGGCTCCAGAGGATAGGACCAGAATGTGAACCAATCTGTAGGGAGGGTGGAGACAGATTTTGTCTTGATATGAGGAACCACTCAAAAATTCCAGCTCTCCACTAATGGTCCCAGGGCCTCCTGAATCCTGCATAGATAAAGGTTGAGGTATAGGATCTGCACATTGTGTGCTCAAGAAGGCTGCTCTCTGGAGTTTTGCAGGTCACAGAGCTATACACTGTGACCTCAGTGACATGAAATTGAAGTCCTTTTTCCTCTGAGAGTCTCTGACACTAATGATTTCCTGGTGCTTGAGTTGATCTGGCCTCAAGGAAAGGGGCAGGACAAATGGGAATGTTTAGATGCTCATCGGGGTGGGTGGGGCATGGACTGAATGTGCCTGGAGAGTTGGGATAGGCCCAAAAAAGGCTGCTTTTGGTCTCTAAATCTGATCAGAAGAGACCCCTAACAGAATTGCTAGGGGAGAATTACTGATCATCAACTGAGTGCTAGGCACTGTGGGAGCATTAAAAACTATATAATCCATGTTCCTGCCCTCAGGAGACTTACGGTCCATACAATGATCCACAATGCAAAGCAAAGAGTAATTAAGGGTGGAGTCCAGGCAGGGCTGCCATGAACAGTTGTTCAGGCTGTGCACTGCACAACGCTAGAGACACCACACACTGAGCCATCCTGTGCAACCACAGGTTTTTACACATCTACCTTATGCCCAAGGAGGTGAGGAGTGATCAATCAGTATCTGTTAAAAGGGTTTCATGCTGTCTGGTGGTGACCGCATGGTGGTAGGGATGGCTGAGGTGGCGGCAGCCTTGGTTGATGTAGGCTCAGCCGGGCAATTTGAGGAACTACTGTGCTTCAGAGCCAGGTCCCTCCTTGTGGTCCATTTCTGGGCACCATGGACTCCATGGTGCATTGGATGAACGGTGTGATGGCAGAGCTAGCAGAGAGCATTCCCAGGTTTCAATCATGAAGAAATATTTCCAAGGAGTTTTAGTGCAGTGAAGGTTTTCGGACTTCAGATGCCCTTGATATTCTGGGGAATGCTTTGCTTTTACTAGTACTCCTGGTCTGGCCTCAGGCGGCTTTGCCTGCCACCGTTGCCTTTGTCTTATTAAGAGTTTGTCTTCTGGGAGCTCTTTTGAGGGGAGGCACGTGTAGTGATCCTCCTGACTTCAGCAGGAGTTTCAAGAACATCATTTGCTTCCCAGAAGAGTTTTCAGTGAGGGATGCTACTGGAAACCAGCAGGAATATGAGACGAGATCAGCTTTTAGGAACATATAGGAATTTGATTTTATGAGTCAGGATGCCACTTGTTTTGTTCTGGTTTAAGACTGTTATCTTGTTTCAACTTAGTATTGCCTGTTTTTTGATTTGTATTACTTTACGATTAGAATCCAGTAGTGCCAGCGATGGGGATCCTCGCTGCGCCTGGCCCAGTGCCCAGTGTGTCGTGGGCGCTCACCAGATGTCAGTCGATAGAGTGACTGAGATGCGCTGCCTTTGTCATCACCTTTCTGCCCTTCTTTGGTCTGAGTGTGGAATTGTATGAAAGAATATAGCACAGAAGTTTCTTAGACTTTAGAAAGAGTCTCTTTTAAATAGCTGTCTCTGAATGCTTTACCTTCTCTTTGTTCTTTTTTCATTTTTATTGAACAGTTGGGGCTTCTCAGGTGGTGTAGTGGTGAAGAATCTGGCTCCCAAGAGATGTAAGAGACACAGTTTCAGTCCCTGGGTTGGGAGGATCCCTTGGAGGAGGAAATGGCAACCCATTCCAATATTCTTGCTGGTAAAACCCCATGAACAGAGGAGCCTGGCGGGCTAGTGTCCAGGAGGTCACAAAGAGTCGGATGTGCCTGAGCGACTGAGCGTACACATTGGACAGTTGACACTGATTTTAAAATGTACATAGTTTTTCACATTAAAAAATGAAAATAATTTAAAATATTGCTTCAAAAGAGCATTCTAAAGAAAAAAGAATTAAGATAATAAAAGACCACCCAAGAATACATGAGATGAAAAGTATAAATGAAAGTCAAATGACTACCTCAAACTGTATCATTGTTATTTATTTGGATAGAAACACCAGATTGGTTAAAGTTATAGATAAAGATAGTATTTCAAGCCCAGTGGAACTCTTTCACTCTCGGAAAAATACGTGCATATATATTTAAAAACCCTTTAACAATATAACTTATCAATATATTTCCTATAGGTTTAAAAAAAAGAAAAAGGATTTAGGGCTTCATGATGTGACTTTTGATCAGATAATGCCCACAGAAAGAGCAGAGTTCCCATTAACACACCTGAAAAAGTTGGCTTAAAGCTCAACATTCAGAAAACTAAGATCATGGCATCTGGTTCCATCACTTCATGGCAAATAGATGGGGAGACAGTGGGAACAGTGGCTGACTTTGTTTTTTTGGGCTCCAAAATCACTGCAGAGGGTGACTGCAGCCATGAAATTAAAAGACACTTATTCCTTGGAAGGAAAGTTATGACCAACCTAGAGAGCATATTAAAAAGCAGAGACAGTACTTTGTCAACAATGGTCCATCTAGTCAAGGCTATGGTTTTTCCAGTAGTGATGTATGGATGTGAGAGTTGGTATAAAGAAAGCTGAGCGCTGAAGAACTGATGCTTTTGAACTGTGGTATTGGAGAAGACTCTTTAGAGTCCCTTGGACTGCACGGAGATCCAGCCAGTCCATCCTAAAGGAGATCAGTCCTGGGTGTTCTTTGGAAGGACTGATGTTGAAGTTGAAACTCCAATACTATGGCCACCTGATGCGAAGAGCTAACTCATTGTAAAAGACTCTGATGCTGGGAAAGATTGAGGGCAGGAGGAGAAGGGGACAACAGAGGATGAGATGGTTGGATGGCATCACTGACTCAATGGACATGGGTTTGGGTGGACTCCGGGAGTTGGTGATGGACAGGGAGGCCTGGCATGCTGCGGTTCATGGGTTTGCAAAGAGTCAGACACGACTGAGCGACTGAACTGAACTGAAACTGGATACTAAGCCATTTAATTTCTGTCAACTCTTTGTCCTTTTCCCTTTTCAGAAAACCAAAATTCTCCTCCTACTGTGAATTTTTTCCTTTTGAAAACACATCTTGCTGTCACTTCGCTTCCCTCCTGACCTTCCCTTATCCAGTTTGTTTGTTCCTTTGCAAAGAATGGAAAAATCTCTTCTAGGAAGCTGACAGTCTTCATCCTTTTCTCCTTATCTCCTCTGCACCTCCTCTAATGCCATAAAATTTGGAAGGCAGGCAGGTATTTTGTGTTACATTGACGATAACTGACAGCTATTAAGCACGTGCTATGTGACAGACCCGGTGGTTTCAGTTACATTTCTTATTCAGTCTTCCCAATAGCCTCACGAAGTAGGTACTATTACTGTCCTTATTTTACAGATTAGGACAGTAAGGTTCAGAGAGGGTAAGCAATCTGCTCAATTTGTATGGTTATTGATTGGTGAAATTGATATTCATACGCAGGTCTGAGAGTCTGGGTATGGACACCCAGCCTGGCTCTCTGCCCCGACCATGATGCTGAGTTGTTTTGTTGTATTCCTTCTTCTGCCCCATCCTAGCTTCTACTCACCCTGCTTTTAAGATCTGGAAGCTTTGACTGAAAAAGTCCTTGTAATTACATGTTTCTTCCCAAATTGGACTGGACTGGTTTTTTCCTGGGCTGGATATGCCAAGCAACACAACATCCAAATGATTTAATAAGGATAGTAGTAGTTGAGGGAATTTAATTAAAGAGCACTGTAGCTTCAGCTCTTGGAGAAGGCAATGGCACCCAACTCTAGGACTCTTGCCTGGAAAATCCCATGGACG